CGGCACTACGATTAGCACGTGAGAATTTTGTTCATTCCTTGCTGTTGGACTACGACCGCTACCCAGCAAGGTTTGTGACTCAATAAAGTACTACGTTTCTTTGTTTCGATATCATTCGACACAGAGCATATCCGACCGCTAATAATCTTGGATTTCCGGTTAATGATCAATCCGATATTGTTAAAGACATCTGTTAATGGGCTCTATCATCACTCGACAACATTTGTGAGTACAATTCATGGCTTCGTTCGCCTAACAGTTGAATCTTTGATAGGTAATCTCTTCTAAGTTGAAGAGCAAAAGATCAAACCTATAATGAAAGGCGGAAGCACCGTCTTACACATCGCATTTGCACTAAACTGTGAGTCGTGTGTCAAACTATGTGTACAGGAAGATATTATTTGTTTTAAAAAGGAGTAGAGAGTTAGCCGATTACTACAACTTAGTCGAAAAAGGAGGGAAGCCTGGAGTTAGCCGCCGAACAGACTGGTATAAGTATTCGATCAAATTCCTCCTATTTTGCTGAATAGTCGCACTACAGTGAAGATTTCTCATGGAAATGTTCAGTGAATAATGATGACTCCGATGCAACTGAGCAGACAAACAGCAAAAAACAAGCAAACCAGTCGTGAATGCAATAAATAAGCTCAGTCTCCACAACAGGGGCATAAGAAAAGATTGCAGGGTGACCTTTCATGACTGGTTAAAATTGGCTACTAGGTGGAGCACACTCTCATGATTTTTTCAACTCGGTAACAGCGCTGTGACATATTACTGAGTTTGTTGTTGTCTTGAACTCTTCACGAGGTTTTTAAATAACCTTTATTAGGCTGACGTTTCGGCGGAATCGCCTTCTTCAGAGCCTGAAAGGATCATAACAATCTGTGATTATCCGACCAAACGTTTCCACCAACCCACCAAGTTCGAGACCCCCAGGGCACGCAGGTGGTCGAAAGGAGAACCACACACCGTAACTTTGCGGATTCTTCGAAACCACCCAACTAATAGTGGTGCCAACCGACCAGTGTCAGCGGGGGTACGTCTTCATTAAAGTCTGTGAGGGAAGGCCAATCTTATATAAGGCCGTAGCTCCCGCGTGATTGCGAGGCATTCTTCCCTACGATTCATTTTGGGGTCGGTGACCTGTATCCAAAATGCCTCGAGGGTTTTGCGCGCGCACACTTGCGACTCCTGTGCTACGACCTCCACGGTGACCTCAAAATCGTCTCCGTTATGCTTCTGAATTCGATGGCTCCCTAAGGCAGTAGACTTTTTCAACCGTCTCATTCCATCTATGTGCTCCTTGACCCTCACGTGAAGTGGTCTTGCCGTTTCTCCAATATACTCATCACCACAAACCCGGCAAGTAATTCTGTAGACCACTCCAGACATGTTACAATCACCTTCCCTTCCAGCTGGACAAACCACACAGTTTGAGGTCGTACATAGGCGATCGTATATCCTGTTACGAATCAAGCGCTTCTTTAGATTGAAGGGTGGTACATTTACAATAGCTACTAAATTTTCCAAACCCGATCTCTTCAAGCACTTTCTAATGGAGGCGCTGACCTCATCAGAAATAAATGGTAGTACAAAAGGAGTCTTGCCTTCAATCGAGGTACTACCATGTCTGAGGATCACACCACCAGAAGAAGCTCTACGTGAAGTTGGAAAATTGTAGTAACCATTGGACCAAGCTATATCGCGTGCCATTTCAAGCGACTCTTTTCGCTCTTCCTCCCCAGTGCAGACCTTCCTAGCGGTGCGGAACATATTTCTAACGACCGCTCGTTTTACATAGAAAGGATGAGCTGAGTGATAATGGACAATGATGTTCTTATTGCTAGGCTTTTTTCGTAACAATCATATCACCCTGTAGCCTCACTTAAACGTTTAAGAAAGGAAGCCAATTTCCGGTCGGTTTCTCCCGTGTTAACTTGATGTGCTCTGATTGTGAATTAAGTAGGCCGAAACACACATCTACTTCTTCCTATGTCGCACAGACTATAAAGCAATCATCGATATATCTGCAGTGAAGTAAGGGCAGATATTCCAGTACAGGCGCTTCAATCTTGGCCATAAATGATATGGCCAACACAGGCGCCAATCGTTGCCCCATAGCCAAGCCTCTAGTCTGTGCGAAATACCTTCCCGACCACTTGAAAATGTTACAACTGAGGCACTCCTTCACAATGTTACAACTGAGGCACTCCTTCAATGTCGAAAAAATTTTTGACAGAAGCCTCTCTGCGTAGTTAGTAAATTGATTTCGGCAAAAAGTCAGGGTTTGTATTAAAGCAGCCACACTGTCATAATGATATTAGGCTTCTGCAAACGACTCATTGGACATATATTTGTTCACTATTTGCCTATTCAATTATCACTGCGATCAAGTAATTTCAGCGGTCTTCATGATAATGTATGAGTTAATGCGTGCACCTTGCACAGAGTGTCCCAAAGTTAAATGCACCAATTCATAGCTATGTTATTTAAAACTTTTCAGCTGCGAAAGGCTATGGAATTTCTATGCACATTAGCTGACACCACTGGCTACAACACGCTACATTCATTGTAAAATACCCCCGTTAGCGTGGATAGAGGCCCAAAGTTTGCTCTCGACCTGGTCGCATGTGGCACGCAGGTATCCTTCTCCATTTCTTCCCAGCCGTTCTTCAGTCTTGCTTTCTAGTACTCCAAAGTGGGAGTACTAGAAAGCAATGTCGACAGGTCCTCTTCTAATCAGGAACCATACGGGGCAGTCAAGTGAATCACGTTCTGGGAAATAAGATGACTATTACTTTTCACCGATGAAGTCAGGCAGCTGTCGCCGGCACCACTCGCGGGGAAGCTTGGCCCTGTGAGCTGGAGTAGCGTCCTACTGGAAGGACTACCAGATGTTTCAGGAAATGTAGTCGGATTCATGCTTCATTTCGTCCATCAGTACCCTGTTTGGGTACTGGTCTTGGTCAGTATCCACGCCGGCACCAAAGGAACCACAAGCGTCTTACCCTTGCCAAAGACCGCCTCAAAAACATCATTTTACTGTCCTCATAGCAACCGGGCAATTTTAACAGTCTTATCTTTAGAAACAGTGGCCTTTCTACCTTTCCTGGCTTGTCTCTGATTCAATCTTCTTTTCCATATAGTTTGGTAAATCCCTATACGGCTATTATTGGAATCTAAAGGAATTTCATAATGTCCTTCCACCTTTCGCTTGCCAATGCTTGCAAGTGGCATTGAATGGGAGTCCTTCATCTAAAAAGTATCGGGAGTCCCACATCAGTAACCGCGCATATTGCAAAGAAACCTTCTTATGCGATTAATCAATAGCAGGTAATGTGGATTTGATAGATTATTTTTACCTTAAAAATTTCTGAATTTCGGCGTCCATAAAATTGGGACACCCTGTACATACCCAATCGCGCGCGAACGCGAGAATACTTGAAATTCATATTATCGACATTCATTCCGGCAATGGTCGTGATACCAATAACGTCAATCACTTCTCTCCAGTAGCAGGTATAGTGTGCTGTATGCATCAGGGTGTGCGGAAGTGGCTGCCAAAAATTTTGCATTAACTCAAAATTTTCCTTACGTTTTTTCTTGGAAGTTTTATAGGTATTCTGTGTGAGAGCGCCTCCCCACTTACTTTGCTTATTCGACCATATGATGACCCATCTGCTAATCCATACTCGACAGGTACTTCTTTGCGAGTTCGAATCTGGTCACTCCGCTGCTGAAGCTCGTCGAAATTCGGGTCAATCATACAACTCTTAAACAGCTTCTCCGAAGCTTCCGAACGTCTTAGTGTTCTTGCTGTGCCATTCTTACTGTTTGTGACTTCTTCGCTTCCGTCGCTCGAAAAGAATACATCATGTTTCACTGTATTTTTCGAAAATACATGAAGATGTTTAAGAGAAAACCAGCAGCAAAATGGCTCATCTCTTTTGTTTGATATCTTCATCAAATCGAATGTGCGAATTCTAAACATTCATGTAGAATTGACATTAAATGAGCAGGAAGAATATTAGAACGATGCAGATAACATTTTCTTGAAGTCTTTCGAGCTGCGAACCCCGTAGCTGGTCATTTCTTGTTGAGCAAGCAATTTCGATTTGCATCACACTATTTATCCCTTTGCAGTTGAAATTCTGCACAAAATATCCTCCAGGCTCTGTCGGTATCGAGACTTCTGGGCATGGAAAACAAATCTATTATTACATTTGGGAGATAGTAGTTGATATGCATCTCACCTTTAGCGGTCATTTCGAAATGTTACCATCATCTTCTACGGATCTCCTTCATTGAGGGTTCTCGCTCACAAAAGGATCCGAGCCGGTTAGCGACGAGGCTACGTAGGGCGCCCCCAGGTGACAGATAGGAGAGTAAATCGCCGACGAAAATTTGCCAGTACTTGCCCAGAAACGCAAGTGGATTTAGGGATGGACTCCCTGATTCTGCTATGCTGGTCGGTACATCCTCTTTCTCGCAGGTGTATCCACGCGTTGGTTCATAGAAAGTCTGCGGGTGCAGCTGGTATCCTGCTCATCGACTCAGCCAAAAGCTTGCATTCGAGTAACTGGGAAGTATCTGGGGGCAATTCGAGGCCAGTTCCAAAAACAAAACCCCCGTCTACTCCGGTACTGCCCATCAAGCCCCCGGAGTCAACCCAGCCCCCACGTCAGAGCCTGGCAAGCTACACGTTGGGTATCCACTTGCCAGAAACAGTAACACAAATGGACTATATCCCCCTGTATCTGAGGGGGCCCCAACACAGCAGCTGGGATAGGCTGCTAAAATCTCAGAGCCAAAACAGGCTGCTCAAAAGAAGGGCCAAGATGGCATCCGTACTTTCAACGCACGAACGCTTGCATCGGAAGCGTGCATCGAAGATCTGGTGATGCAAGCTAGGAAGATCAAGAACGACATCATGGTACTGACCGAGACGAGAAGGCATCACCCGCCACACGCCGTATTTCAGGATGAAGAGGAGATGTTCCTTAAACATGCGACAGCAGAGGCGTCGGCAACGTAGGTGTCCTCGTCAACACGTACTTGGCCATGAGCATCGATTCGTACGAAGGCTTGACAACCGGAATCGGACATTTACGATCGAGAAGACGTGGTTCAACAACCAGCTCTGACAAGTTTCGTTGCCTACGCACCAACATCAAGCTATGAGGAAGAGAAGCTGGAAGCGTTCTATATGAATCCTCTTCAGAGAAGATCATAATTTATCAAGGCCAACACACGTAATTTCAACGCCTATATTGGCATCAGAAGAACGGTTGAAGAGCTAAATATTGCAGAAACGGAAAAAGATAGAAGTAGCAGGGTGAATGACTGTCTGAGTTCATCATGTCGGCCCTTACCATCCGTGGTAACTCGCAATTCCGGAAGCCCTCTCATTCCCGATGGACATGGGAGTCACAAGGTGAACAGTTCCATGACCGCCGACGTCGCTGTTGTTCCGAAGTTCTACACGGATCGGACCATCGTCTCCTTGACGCTAGATTCTAGTATTTTCCAGTGCAGCGAGAGAGAGCTGCGATGTTCAGGAAACGTAGTCCCAAAACTTTGCCAACTGACATCTCTTCGCTTCCCTCGCGAGTAAATGGGAAGAATCCGTTATCGACAACATCGATGAAGAATACAACCGGCTCGTCGAACATCTTCACGATAGCGCTATGAAAGCAGGGAGTCTACAAGAATCAAGAGACGGCTCTCTCCGAAGACTCTCAAGCTGATACGCCAGCAGGGAATCGCGCGAGCTACAGACAATCATCAACAAACGTCCGAACTTGCGAAGCTATGCAGGGAAACGATAAAGGAAGATCTGAGAGAGAAGAGCAGCAGATATGGATGAAGCCGCCGAGGCCGGAGAAAAGCATTCGCAGAGCCTGACGGAGTTTCGCCAATCACAAGACCGATATGACTTCCCTTCGCGTCCTGACGGAACAGTTACTGCATCTCGAAGGGCAATGGAGAAGGTTATCCACGACATCTGTTTGGATTTCTTCGACGGCCACGTCTACTACCTACTCACCATTCTAGGGAAGATGAAAATACCGCTCCTTCGGTTTTCCCCTCCGGAATTCGATATGCCATCTCGTCGATGAAGAACAGTACGGAGCATGGTCCCGATAAGATCAAACCCAAACATCTAAAAAGTCTTTCAACCTTTATCGTCAGAACTCTGTCTAGGCTCTTGACGCGGTACCTGTCGGAATACAATGTGCCCACGTCGTGGCCAATCGAGGTATTCCTACTCAATATATGAGAAGGCTCCGTGAGTCCTACAACACTTTGACGATGACGATCATTCTACACAAAAACATTCATCAACGTGAAGAGTGAGGTTCAATAGTGCGGTACCATCTCGCTCAAAATTTCCACTGTCGTTTTCGAGAACATCATGCGTCGTTTGGAATGGGCAGACTTGGGGGGGGGGGGGGNNGGGGGGGGGGGTGTGAAGGTCGACATCCGCTATATATCACCTCCGCTTCGCAGACGACATCGTGCTTATAGCACCGAACATCGAGCAGGCGGATCGAGTTCTGGCCGAGTTTGACAGCGCTTGTGAAAAGCGGCCTTAGACTGAACTCAATGAAGATGATGTCTATGAGAAACGGATTGGTCCTGATGCTTCCTTTCCGCAAAGCGGAACGAGTTTTTCTGAATGCTTTAGCTATGTGTATCTAGGTCGGGAATTCGATACGATGATGGATATGAACGATCTAGCTCCGGAGCTGATCAGAAGAAAACACGCCGCATGGGGAGCATTCAAAAAAATATCGAAGGAGTAGCGAAGAAAACAAACTACCTCCGGCTTCGCGCTCACCTCTTTCGACACTGCTGTCCTTGCTGCTTTGACGTACGCTTAGCAGATTTGAACTCTTGGCAAGGAGAATGAGCATGCTGTCAGCATTACTCAGCGCGCTTTGGAGAGGACGACGCTCTGACTTCCCCTAAACATGCAAATGCAGAAGGGAATCAGGAGTCCCAAGCTCCATCATTGAACGAGTATAAGGGATGTCGTTTATTACGCCAAGAAATCGAAGATCAGGTGGGCCGGGCACGTCGTCCGATACAGTGATGACGGTTGGACCAGGGCTGCTACTACTGGATCCCTCGAGACGTCAAGCGAACACTAGGATGGGCAGACTGGGCAGACTTCCTCACGAAAGCTCAGAACGAAAGGAATGCTGAGCCTCGTGCCCCTGAGGCGAGGGCGAGTCACTGGACCAGTCTGGCTCGCGATAGGGGCGAATAAAGACGTTACTGGTGTCCGCTCGTGGGAATCGATGGTCAAGATACATGTGATACAGCTAGGAATGTGACCTCGTGACCTTGAACAGCTGAATAGTTTCCATCATTAATCCAACTGTTGAAAAATAGGATACCTGTCATCCTGTTCAGACTTGCTGAGCATGACTGTCCCATCCGCTGGTTTCCAAAATATATAGAGACCTTGCCACAGAAGCCGGCTACCTAAAGATGTGAAATAATATTTTGTGTATTACAAATTAGATAAAGGCGCTCAGCGGACAGAACAGCATTTTTAGGTACTGCGATCTCCATGTCTTCGGAGGAGTTGGTGATTGGAAGTGATTAGGCGCAGGAGTCGTTTTAAAGGGTAAACCAATTACTGCAACGTGAGGAAATCCAGCCTGAATTCGAAAGTGTACTTGTAAGAATAAGTAGTGCCGTAAATGGTAGTACTGTATTGTATTGTATTGTATTGTATTGTGTATTAGTGTACGATCCGAAAAAAAATCCCAGAATGAATCGTGCTAGCCGGAAAAACTAGATCGAATGAGTGCGATTCTCGAGTGAATTGAAATCACATTTCCAAACGTTGTATGCTGAACGTAATCTATGTGCAGGGATTGCCAGATGTTAAGGTCCCCCTCATTCTTCTTAGGGCTGATCGCCTCACTATGGTTATGACTAACAGCGGAGGTCACGGTCCAGGAAGCGTGGAGAATTCGCACTAGGGATCCTTGTAAATGCTACGTTCCTTTTCGGATGGTATGTGACCTTCTATCTGGTATCTTATGAGAAGATCGATGTTGAAGATGAGGTCGCGCCCAAACATGAGAAAGAAAGGAGACTCGTTCGTCGAACTATGGACTGATGTTTTGTAAGCCAACGTACGAGTACATGCTTGTAAAAATCGGTCCCAATTCAGTTGGTTAGAGCTCATGTAGATGAGCTTTTCTTGAAATATTGCGAACATGTGCTCGTATGCACCGTCGCCCTCATGGTGGTGGGGTATCGTGAAGTTGCGACCGATCTGAAGAAGTCGACCCAACTTTGTAAGGAGTTCGCCTCTCAAATAGGAGGCGTTACCCGAAACCAGTGTGGTCGTTCCCCAAAGACACGTACGCAGTGAGTCATTATGGCCTGAGCCACCGTTATAGCTGTCACATCTGGGAGAGCTACAGCCATCACAAACTTGCTGAAATGGTCAATAAAGCAAAGGATATATTTATTGCCGCGCAATGACTGATGGTAAGGTCCGCTAATTTCCATGTAGAAGACAGCACCTGCAAGGATGGGGATTAGCGCTTCGTGTGTGTGGAGGTGGGGTCGTTTCCGCTGGCATGCATCGCAGGAACGGATGTACCGAAAAACATCGTCCATCGTTGTAAGCCAAAAGAAGCGTCGCAAATTTTTCCGCCAACGTCTTTTTCAATCCAAAATGTCCCCCTGTCGTTGGGCTATCATGTAGAGCTAAGCAAATGGGTTCGCGAAGGGATTGCGGAACGAAAATCGCTTAGCGATTGCGGCGGTTTGAGGCAGCTGATGATTCCACATAGTAAAGACATCCGTCGATTTTGTGAAACGTGGTCGAGTAACCGATTACAGTCTCTTCGCAGTGAGAAATTACCTAAAAAATGCAGTCTATGTCTATTAGAAATTAGATGTGGGCGAAGTTTGCCCTCACAATTCTGTACAGAACAGTTCTAGAACGCGGAAAGAAGTGGTTAAATGTTATCTAGGAGCGGTCACATCGTCAATGGCTGCTTTCATAGTCCGCCGGCCGGCGGACTATGAAAGCAGCCAATGTGAGCGAGGTTGGCCCTCATATTCTGTACAGAACAATTCTAGAACGTGGTAAAAAGCAGTGAGAGATTACCTTAGAAATGCGGTCAAATATTAGATGTGGGCTATTGCAGGTGCCACGCAACTTTGCGGTAGTGTCCGGTGGAAAAGAACCTGTGTCGAGGACATGCATGATAGTGTGGCACGAAGAGTCCCTTTTCTGCGCTGACAGAGCGTTGTACGGGCGTACTTATAGTGGGGGTCTCAACTGTAGAGAAGAGTGGTTAAGAGTCGTGGAGTTCGCTAAACCAAGCAACGCGGAAAATCCACTATGTACTCACTGTCGGGTTTTATCGTCATGAGTCGGTCCGCACTACGGCTGAGATGGTCCGCTATTACGTTGGGCGATCATTTGTGGTACTCAATCATAACATCGTAGTTTTGGAGCTTGACTACCCACCTTGCGAAGCTGTCATGCGGCTTACGGTGGCGTAACAGGAAGGTAAGCGGTTGGTGATCGCACAATATACGCGTATGATTACCATAAATGATGGTCCGAAAAAACGGAGGGCACTACTAGCAGAAAGCTGTTTGTCGAGTTCCATTTCTGTTGGGATGGCTTCCTAAAGATGTCAATGGCAGCGGGAGATAGAGTTGGGTCTTGACGTTGCAATAGTGCCTCTTCTACTGCGGTTTTACTGCCGTCCGCTTGTAGGCTGAACTCTTTGCCTCGAGGGGATGTTACCCACGGTTTCATTTTGTTTTTTTTTTGGTCAGTGCTTTTTTAAGTCGAGCGGAAGATCTTTTTTCCTTGCATAACCTGAAGAGTGGTGCGACGATCGAAGCAAAGTCTTTGACGAACTTCTGGAAGAAATTGGTCAGTCCCAAAAAAACTTTTCACCGCTTCAACTGATGTAGCGGTGGGTAAATCGCGTATTGCTTTGTTATTCTGCTGAGCTGGTGCATACGTCGTGCCTGAGATTTCATGACCCAGGAAAGTCATCTTGGACTGCGCGATGCTCGTCAATTTTTCCCGAACACTTTAATGTTGAAACTACAGAAACGTTCGAGCACCTTGCGTAGGGAATGAAGATGCGCTTCGAAGGTGCTACCGAAGTTAATTATATCGTCGTGTTATCGAGACACTTTCGTCCAATCCGGGTAAAATACGCGACATAGCTCTGCAAAAGTATGCGCCCACGTTACGTAACCCGAATGGGAGATAGACAAATTGGTAAATACCCGGACGGGTGGCCTAGCCACACTTAGCCTGGCTTTCGGGGGAAAGTAGTAGCTGCATATAGCTAGAGGCTAAGTCTGATATAGCTTGCCGGCTACTCGTTCAACGAGGTTTTCGATACGCGGTAAAGGGTAGCGATCCGGTACCGTCATAGCGTCAAGGGGCCTGAAAACCAAGCAAACCCGTAATGATGCATCCTTCTTCTTCCGTACTTCTGTACCAGGACTGTATCATGCAGCCAGTTTCTGGAGCCATAAAACGATACGGATTGGGCAGTATCGAGATGGTGGCACCTCCGTTGTCGTCTTGATCGTGATTTGCGTGTGGTCATACGATCCGAGGCCATAAGAAGAGTGTGATATACGGTCTTGAAATTTGAGAAAGAGCTCGTTTGGTTGATCCCGTTGCTTGTCAGTACAGCCACCACAGTAGTAGTACCCTCTACTTCAGAGGTCCTTGTGCCCTATAAGATAGCTCACGCGAAATCTAATCAGTTCACCATTCCTGAGAGTGGCGAAGTTGTTGTTGGAAATCCTCCGAAGAAGCTGCCAATTAGGCTGCAGTGGGTGATGGCTCTGACGATGCGGGCGCGCGGTAGGCGTCCAAGGAAAGATCTCTGTCCTAAAGTAATGAATTGGCCAGGTGGAGGGGAGGGGGGGGGATGGCAGTTCATGGTGTGTTTAGCCTGGACCGAGACGATTCGCGGGTGATTTGCCCTTGTGTCGTTAAGGTTTAGTTACACGTCCGATCCAAACGGTTTAAAGGGGATAGGACTTGTACTGGTATGAAAACGACGTCGGAAGGATGAGTCACTCGCTGAGTAACTGTTCC